GCTCCTCCTCCTCCTGGCTCAGGCTCTCCTCCTCCTCCTGGCTCAGGCTCTCTTCCTCCTCCTGGCTCAGGCTCTCCTCTTCCTCCTCATTCAAGCTCTCCTCCTCCTCACTCAAGCTCTCCTCCTCCTCCTCACTCAGGCTCTCCTCCTCCTCATCCAGGCTCTCCTCCTCATGTGGGCCCTCTTTTTTCTTCTTACTCAGCCTCTCATTCTCTTGAGTCAACCTCTTTCCCTTTCTCCTTCTTTGGGATGAACTTTGTTTTTTATACTTCTTAGCCAAATTCTCCTTCAATTTCTCTTCACTCAGGCTTACCTTCTTTTTCTTCTTCTTAATTACATATTTCCCTTTCTCCTTCCTGGGCAGAATCCCTTCCTTTTCTTCCTCAGTAATGCTCTCCTCCTCTTTCCCCTTCTTAGTTGGACTTTCCTTCATTTCCTTCCCAATAAAACTCTCAGATAAGCCTTCAAACAGAGTATCTCTGATACTCTCTAATAACCACTTCAGCAGAGTCTTTTTTAGTTTATTCTTCTCAATTCTCCCCAGAAGTTTCTTTAGCTGCTTTTTTCCTAACATATTTTGTTCCTGGACTTCCTTTAATATACTCTCTACCTGGACTCTATCTAATAATATCTTTCCCTGGACCTTCTGTAGTAACTTTCGGTTCTCCTTCAAGCTCTCTCCATCAGTCAGTGTTCTCTCTTTGGTGGCCAGCCTATCATCTTCTACTTTTCCCTCTTCCTGACCCAGCTCCTTCTCTTCTTTCATTATTTCCCCCTGTTCCTTAAAAAATTCCCACTTCTGGCCATCCATTTCACTCTTCCCTGTCATGAATGATCTCTCTTCCTCACATATTTCTGTTTCTTCTGGTAGCACTATACTCATTTTTCTAATTGTTTTAGCCAGGATCCTGAACAGGTTACTCTCTTTCTTCCTTATATCTTTTAAACTGGAACTAGCCTCTTTGTCTTCAGAACGAATCCCTTTCTCCATATCCAGTTTCCTCACTGCCTGTATTCTCTCCTCTTTGGTTCTTTTCCTTTTTTTCTTGGCAACACCCATCTCCTTGATCCTAATGTCATAGGCCAATTCCCTCTCTTCCTGGGACAATTCCTCTTCTTCCACAACTTCTTTCTCTTCCTCAGTTTTTTTCTTTCTGTTAGTTATGCCAATCCCCTTTCTGGCTACTGCTTTTTTTCTGTTAGCAATATGCCTCTTCTCCTTGGCCAATTCACTGTCTTTCTGGGTCAGTCTTTTCTTCAATGCTTTTTCCTCATTTTTCTGGGACTTTTTCTCCACTTCACCAGCGTGTTCCTCCCTTTCTACAAAAATTTTCTCTTTTACCCAAGCCCGTTGTTTTTTTTTTATCGCTCTCGTTCTCCTCTTTCTGACCCCATATTCTCTCTTCTTGGGCCTGTATCTGCTCTTGTAGGGCTAGTTGCTCTTTTTTGTGGGTCTGTTGTTCTTTTCTGTCAGTGGCTTTCCTGTCTTTCCCAACCCATTTCTCCTCTTTCTTAGCTTGTTTTTCCCCCACCATGGCCCGTTTCTCTTTTTGAGAGAACACTTTCTCAATTTCTTCTATCTTTTTCTCTTCTCCTGGGACCAGTTTCATCTTTTCTCTGGCCCATTGTTTTTTATCCTCAGCCTGTTTCTCCACTTTTGGAGCCAATTTTTCCTCTTTCTGATCCCGTCTCTTTTCTTCCCGGGCCTGTTTCTTTTCTTCTTGTGACCATTTCTTCATCCCCCCAGCTTTTTGCTCCTCTCCTGAGTCTGCTTTCTTTTTTTCCCAGGTCCATTGCCTCTTCCTCTCAGTCGTTTTCTCCTCTTTCTGGGCCCTTCTCTCCTTTCCCCCCTGCTTTTCCTCTTCCCCTAGGCCCAGTTTCTTTCTTTCCCAGGATAATTGTTTGTCCTTGGCTTTTTTCTCCTCTTTCTTAGCCTGCCTCTCTTTCTGGTCTTCTTTCTCCTGTTTCCCAACTTGTTTTTCATTTTCTTGGATTTGTTTCTTTTTATAGGCCTCTTTTTTCTTTTTTAACCATTTATTCTTCTCTGTGGTCAATTTAATTTCTTGCTCTGCCAAGCTGCCCCTTTCTGATGCCTGTTTTTCTTCTTCCCCAGACAGTCCCTCCTCTTCACTAGACAAATGTTCCTCTTCCTGGGCTAATTCCCCCCTTTTCTGGGCCTCTTCTTCAACATGTTTCTCTATACCTTGAATGTGTTTCTTCTTTTTGTGGGACTTTTTCTTCCTACCTTTAACTTGTTTCTTTAAGTCCAGAATTAGTTCCTCTTCATCCCAGGCCAGTTCCTCTTCTTCCTCACTTGGCTCTTCCTCACTGAACTCCTTCTCTTCCTCACAGGGCTCCTCCTCTTCCTCACTCAGCTCCTCGTCTTCCTCACCCAGCTCTTCCTCTTCCTGGGACAATTTCCTCTCTCCCCAGACAGGCAACACCTCTTCCTGGGGCCACATGTCTTCTTCATGGGCCATCATAATCTTCTCCCAGTCCCACTTACTCCTTTTCAGGGCTGCCCTCCCCTCTTTCTGGGTCACTCTCTTTCTTTCCCCTAGTCGTTTTTTTCCCTTTTCCAGTATCTTTCTTTTCTCCTAAAACTAACTTCTGCTCTTCCTTGGTTAATGTCTTTTGTGGATAAGCCAGTAGTTTTTCCTCCCAAGCTATTTTTTCTTTCTGATGAGTCAGTTTCTTCATATCCTGGATCAGTTTCTCCTTACCCTGAATTATTTTCTTCTCTGGCTTACTCAGTTTCCTTTCTTCCTCAGCTATTTTCCCATCTTGCCTGGCCAGTCCCCGTGCTTCTTTTTTTAATTTCCTTTTCTGTAAGGCTAGTTTATCTAAGAAAGCAACTTTCTTTTTCTTGACTTGAGAAAATGCCTTGTCCTTCTCTAATGCTTCTTTTCCCCTTTGTCTTCCCAACTCTGTCACTTCTTCCTCGACAATCTCTTTATCCACCTTTTCTGTTATAGTGGATGGTTCTTCTACCACTCTTTCCTCCAATTCTGAGGAGTCCTTTAAAAGGGGGCAGATCTTTTGGAATAGATCCCAACTGGGCTCTTGGGGAGCAAGAATCACCCGAGCCAAGTCCACCAATTCTTGACCCAGATCCCTTAACATTCCTGGATGGGAACTTGCTATCCTTGAGGTGGCAAGATAGCTAATATCATTCCGCCAATACCTGGTGTCTGATTCACCCGTGTGTCCAGGGGCACCAGTCAAACCTTGGTCACCCTTTCCAAGTTTCTTCCTTGTATCTTTTTCTTGTTCAGCAATCTGCATGACTTTTTCTTTGGGCTCTTCTGCAGTCATCTTTGAAATATCCTTCAAATTTTCTTTCTGTTTCAACTTCGCAGCTACTTTTTCATGGCTTTTTTCCACTGCCCTTTCCCAGAGTCTTTTCATGAGTTCTTGTCTTTCCAGCTTAGGGAATATCTCTCCATAATCTTTCATGTCATGTTGATCTATGGCCCTTATAATCTGTGTGGCTTCCACTGCCTCTGTGACTGCCATGTGGCCTCTTCCTTCTTCTGTGGCTTCCATAGCTTCTGTAGCTTCTGTCATGACCTCCTTTGATTCAGCAACCTCTTCAGATTTGGCTGGGCTGAAAGTACTTAGTGGCAGCTCTGGCTCTAAGGCAACATCCTCAGTGTCAATTAGCTCTGATTTCTTGGCCTCTCTCTGTTCACCTTCATCCTCTGAAGGCACCAACATAGAGCTAAATTTTACAAGCTCTGTCTCTCTCTTCTTTCTGGAAACTCTCAGGTCCTTTTTAACTGCAGAGATATTGAGGAAAATATTTAAGAAAAAACAGAGGCCCTGAGTGGTAACCTTTGTAATATACAGTTCAATGAACTTCCATAAGAAGTACAGAGGCAAAGAGGACTGAGGCTTTATGGCACAGAAATGCTTGTCATTTTATCCCAGCTTCCATATCCTGAAGAAATAAGACCTTGCTATTTGTTGTGGTATATGTGTTTCCTTCCCAGGAAGGTTACTTTCTATGGAAAAGAATCTCTACGTAATTATGTTCCCACTGATATAATTTCAGATATCTTTTTTAAATGTTTATTTATTTTTGAAAGAGAGAGGAGGACAGAGGATCTGAAATGGGCACCGTGCTGACAGCAGAGAGCCCTACGCAGGGCTCGAACGAGATCATGACCTGAGCTGAAGTCAGATGCTCAACCGACTGAACCACCCAGGTATCCCCATTTTAGATATCTTGGCCTTACTGACCCTGTCTTTTGGTGTCCTAAGGTGGGCCCCAAATATACCCCATTTATTACCCCATACATACTAAGACTTTCTCTCTTTTCTTGAACATATGTCATTCTTTTCTTTCGTTTGGTGATCTCTTCAGGTATGAATGTTCGTTTGACAAAGGTCTCAGGTTCACCATCCATTGATATGTCTAAAGAAAAAGAAGGTTGTTGGTCTCTGTGTGACAAGGTCAGGTTTTCATTTAGCTGCTGCTCCACCCGTGTAAGCAGGCACTGGAGGTCGTTAGCTTGGATCCCCAGCAGCTGGTCCAGAGAGGTTTCTCCAATAAGTTCCCGCCTATAAAAGTCAAGAGGAAAAAAGGATGATACCAAGCCAGTGATAAAACTAGATTTGAAGAAGAAGGAGGAAGAGGAGGGAAGGAAGAAAGGAAGACAGGGAGAAGGAGGAGGAGGAGAAGAAGAAATTACAATTGAAGAGGCAGAGAAAAAGTGGCCATTTAGGACAGAGTAGTCTGAAGTAAAGGGTTGGTAAAGAAGAAAGAACCAAAGATAGCAAAGAATCAAGTCATCAGGGAGATAAAAGATATTTTTTTGGTTGGAAGGTTTGTAGACTTGAGTCTCGAGGAATCTTAAGGATCAGAAGAAGGGTAAGCACTGGGGAGAAAAGCAAAGAGAAACAAAGATCATAGTGGGAGGAAAAGAATAGAAAGGGTTATAGAAAAGGAGAATAAGCAACCAGATTCTGGAGGTTAGGAGCTAGAAAAAACAGAAGGGGGAAAGCCACTACACAACTTACTGCATTTTTTGGAGGGTTTCTTGTTCCTTCAGCAGGCCTACCAGCATGCTCTTACTTTGGATGCCTGTGACTCTTATCATAAGGTACAAAGCCTTAGCCCGCACATTTTCATCACTGTCCATCAATCCCAGACTCAGTGGAACAGCAAAGAGATGGCTCATGATGCCAAGCATATCTAGCCCCTCCCAGGCTAGCTCACGGATGCATGGGTTGGGATGGAGTGTATCTTCCAGCAGGCGACAGGCAGTCTCAGAGCACAACCTTGGAGATACTTGGTAAGTGGCAAAAATTTGTGCCAGGGCACTAATATATGTCGTGTACTGGTCTATAGAACAGTAAACTGTGAGGCTGAGGATTGCCTCAATTAAATTATTTAGAAGTCCTTCATCAAGTTTTCTTCCTGCCCAATTTCGGTTTATCAAGCTTGTTAGAACATCATAGAATGTTCGTTTCCACCACTTGGATTTATCCCTCTCTCTCCTCATTGAGATGTTCTCTTCTGATAGAGGCATAGGTGACAGTGTCTGGCGTCTGATGGGTTCAGTCATGTCCCAGTCTGTATCTCGGTAGGATGAGTACAGGTCATGGCGTAAGAAGACTGGGGTACCGTCAGGCCAAAGGCAGGCACGGATAACTGAGTTGGGGATGTAGCCATCAGGAGCAAAGGGCCATTGCCGCCCTTTACCAAAGAAGCCATGCAGTTTATGATAGGGGTTCAACCCATTCCAGCCAGCCAGCCGTAGTTGAGCAGGAACCACATGTGGGGGATGATTATGCTTGGGGTCAGGAATAGAAAAAGCAATATCCTTATCCTCCAAAAAATGTAATTTGGGTTCCACTTGAATCAGAGAAGGCATACGTCTCTCTTCCTCTACAACATGGGGCACAGTATTGTCAAAGGCAATGACCCGTTTGTTAACAAGGGCCTCTAGCCCCTGTAATTCCTGCAGCCCTTGTCCAAGATAGACAAATTTGGGTACAAGTACTATTTCAAAAGAAAAGAAGAAGCTAGGCAGAAAGAGTTTAGGGTCTTCTTGTATTTCATCTGCATTATTTAGGATAGCTAGGTGAATCAGCCGAGTAGGAGGGAGCAATTTTAAGCATGATACCAGGTAAAGACTCTGGTTGAAAGTCAAAAGCAGGTCACCCCAATTACTGGCAAAGCAGAGTGGACCAAAATGCAGTGCTGAACCCAACTCAGTTATGAGTCTACCATGGAAGTCCCAGATCCGGACTGAGCCGTCAATGCCCCCTGTGACAAAAAGTTTCAGGGAGGAGCAGACATCAAATGAAGTGATGGCACACCGGTGCAGGCATTTTGTCTCTTCAAACATAGAGCTTTGTTTTGATTCTGCAGATTGCAGAAAATCTTGATAGTGCCAGAGACGCCAGCAGTGGTTGTCAGTGATGGCACCCACAGAACCCGGCAGCAGTATCACGTGTTGCAGGGGGCAACTACAGAGAATTTTGCTTATGGACTGCAGGATTACCTTGTTCTTCCACAGCAAAGCTTCTGTCAGGTATACAGTATTATCCATGCCATAGGAACAGAGCAAGGAGTTTTCCTGGGGACCTTCCAGGGTAGACAGGGCCAAAACTGCCCCAGAATGAACAGTCTTTTCTATTCGGGCATAGCTGTAGTGGGAGAGGATTCTCACAATGCCACTGTCATGCCCACAGAACATCAGTCCTACTAGGCCCATACCCAAATGGGACTGTGCATAGGCCAGGCAACTTACTCTGTCCCTAGAGTTTACTGAAGTGCATACCATATACTTGGCTGTGCAAGGCGAGCGCATTGCATCAAACACCAGCACCTCTGAACTGCCTGTTGCCACAAAGAGCTCCTCATTGTCTGGGTCATAGGCCCAAGCCACAGCCTTATCCATGACAAGCAGAGGCCAGGTGAGAACCAGGAGATCTCCTGTCACTGGAGACAGGAAGCGCAACAAACCATCCTTAGTGGCACACAGGATCCGAGTCCAATTTCGGCCACAGCAGACCCGGTGCACCTGCTCAGGAGCAGAACCACAGACATTGAAGAGGCTATAAAAATAAGGCAGGTGGATGGGGCGCCTGGGTGGCGCAGTCGGTTAAGCGTCCGACTTCAGCCAGGTCACGATCTCGCGGTCCGTGAGTTCGAGCCCCGCGTCGGGCCCTGGGCTGATGGCTCAGAGCCTGGAGCCTGTTTCCGATTCTGTGTCTCCCTCTCTCTCTGCCGCTCCCCCGTTCATGCTCTGTCTCTCTCTGTCCTAAAAATAAATAAACGTAGGAAAAAAATTAAAAAAAAAAAAAAAAAAAAAAAAAATAAGGCAGGTGGTGCAGTGAGAAAGCGTGGGTAGTCTGGCAGAAAAAAGTGGTGTTATCAATAAACTGCAGTTGCCGCAGACCCTCACCAATATCCAGCTGCCGCAGCAAGTTCCCAACAGCAAGGTTCCATTCCCTTACTGTGCCTTCTCGGCCTGCTGTCAGTAAGTTGTGGATCTCTGGCCGGCTGTGAACGCATATAACTGATGAGGAATGGGCCTGGAAGCTGTGGAGGAAGTTACCCTGGTCTAGACCCCAAGCATGGATCTCTCCATCCTTGTTTCCAGCATAGAAATATCCCTGAGAGACACAAGTGAAGGAGCAGGTGATGGAAGAGCCACTGCCTATGGGAGTGAACTTTCTTACCTCTTTCAGCTGGCCCTGACCCTGGTGGGTGAAGACCCTTACCTTATTCTCACAAAGGGCCAGGAGAGACCCCTTGGGGCCATTCAGGGAAAAGCCCTGTACAAGCTCATGACCAGACATGGGCACTGTTTGTGCCATCTGGAGGTCCCTGCCATTTGGTAAGATAAGCCAGGTAACCACAGCCCCCAAGGTACCAGACAGCAGCACCTCCGTTTCTGGGTCATAGCAGAGGCAGCTGATGAAGAAACGACAGGGCACTGTGCCCAGAGATATGAATGCTCGATGGTGATCTCCAAAGAGCCACAGGTGCATGTCACCACAGTAAGCAACTAACATGTGGTAGGAACCTGTGTGGACCATTGCTTCAATGGGCGGTACTTGATCCATCACACAAAACATCATCTTCTCCATTGTTCCTTCTGCTTCTGTATCTTTCTTATGTATCCAAAGTACTGCCTAGAAGAGGATGAGAGATGAAAGTTGGACCATGGAGGCAGATGATCTCCCAAGAGTAAGGGGTATGAAGGGTTGAATGTTTAGATCGCCGTTCCCTCTTGTAAGACTAAGGAAAGACCGAAGAACTTAACTTTGGGAGTTTCCTAATACTAGGATTTGGGTATGGGATAGAAACATGATTCTTAAGGCTCTTTCCTTGGCCTTCAGTCTGCTTTCTAAGGAATATGAATTCTCTGGACCTGAAACTAGAGGTGAAAAAGATCACTGCATCCAGGTCAGATTGAGAAACGGAGATAGATATTAAAATGAGCTAACTCAGAATCCCCCTCATCATTCTGAGATGAGGACAGTTGAGGTATGATGAATATAAAGTGGATTAAGAAGGAGGAAAAAAAAAAGGGAGGTAGCTTTACCTGTATTTGGTTTGAATCTGGTTCCACCCAGTTTAAGGAGACGAAATAGTTGATGTTGATGGAGTAGAAGCAGATGAAAGGCTTGCTCTGGGGATGGTGAGGCTCCTGGTACAGAGTCTCAGGCCAGTCACTCAGTACAATCACCTCATTCTTTGGTTTCTCAGCAGACTGAGAGAGAAGAGGCCTGTTAAAAGGCCTAAGTCGCCACTCACTCATTCATTTAATAAATATTTATTGAGGATTAGCGGACATTTGTTGTTTTTTCATTAACCAACATTTATTTACCCTACCACTGGAAAGCACTATTTGGGGGAGTCATCCCTGCCTCACCCTCACCCACATCTTAATTCAAAGTACCTCCCAGCCTTTCTCAACCAAGTTTCCGTAAGAAGTAAGCCCTAATGTCCTAAAGTATCCATTCTACATGAGGCATTAATTTCTCCCCTATGCATCTAGAATGTTACTAGTTATGTATCATCCTTAAGAGAAATGAGAAAATAGCCCCTCAAATCTGTTTTCCATGGTTCAGGTGAGGAACACTTGAGAAAGGGTGGTATGTTCTAGTACACACACTGGGGATATGATGCTGAGCAAGAGAGACATGGCCTTAGCTTTCAAAAGATAAGAGTCCAGGGCACCTGGGTGGCGCAGTCGGTTAAGCGTCTGACTTCAGCTCAGGTCACGATCTCGCGGTCCGTGGGTTCGAGCCCCGTGTCAGGCTCTGGGCTGATGGCTCAGAGCCTGGAGCCTGTTTCCGATTCTGTGTTTCCCTCTCTCTCTGCCCCTCCCCTGTTCATGCTCTGTCTCTCTCTGTCCCCCCAAAAATAAATAAACGTTGAAAAAAAAATTTAAAAAAGATAAGAGTCCAGTGGGGGAAACAGGCATTACATAAACAATTAACAAATGTCTGTACAAAACAAATAAGTACTTCCAAAGAAAGGAATACAATCCTATGTGAGTAAGACAAAACAATCCAACCTTGGCAAATACTCTACCTCAGTTGGAACAACTCTTCAAAGTCCCTGCCTATACCCAAAGGACCACTACTGTCAGCGTCACACTCATGATACACTCCCTATGGGAAACTCGTACTTCACAGACTTAGAATGCCCATGGCATGCCCGTGGGCATCAGAGCTAGACACTTTGGCATGTCCCTCTTTCACTATTCCGATATGCATCCAAGGAAAACGTGTGCTATTCACAACATGGAGTGCTTCAGCTCTAACATTCTGTATTCTAACCCCATAGGGTGTGTGTGTGTGTGTGTGTGTGTGTGTGTGTGTGTGTGTGTGGTGTATTAAGGACGATATATGTCTTTCAACATGTTCACAGTAGGACATGTCCAACATACACTATCTTCCAATAACAGAGTTTATATCTAGGACATAAGGACATGAACTCCTTGTAGGGATCAGCCAAAACCGAGGCTCATAAGTCTACTTCTGAGGTCCCTTTCTCAGCAGTATAGCTTGTACTATACTGCCTCTTGAACACTACTCCATGAATCTAACTCCCCAAGTTTCTCTGCATCCACAAAGGACCTGAGACTATACTGAGTCAACTTAGAATCTCTTTATATTTGTCATATTCAGATCTTTGTGTGTTCTGGGAGAATACAGAACACAATGCTGGAGACAGCTTCCACTGCCATTGCTGGTTCAGTGACAGCAGCAGAGTTGAGAGAAAGGATGCTGGTATCTGAGCTCTCAATCTCCCATCCCTCTTCATTGAATCAGAAGGCTAATTTACAAACCCCTTACTCCATTAATTACCATTCCTCTCCTCCTTTTATGTACAAATGATTCACTTACTGACTCAACAGTATAAAGGGTTTTCTCAGGAAGACTCTAAAAGACTATCTTAAACCCAAGTAATGTATCTGTGCCTAGAAGTACTGTTGCCTACTGTGTATCAGTCCTCCTCCTTCTATCCCAATAAAACTCAGCTCTTGTTTAGGGTGATCATGGCCCCAGAAATTCTGGCAATACAGAGTGGCAACTGTAGCACTCTAAGGCTGGCACAGCTCTGTACTTTCTGACCTTCTGTCTTCTACCTACTTGCAATTTAAAGCTGATACCTGGAAGTACAGGAACTGTCCTGCAACCTTAAGATGATAGGCTAAAATATTAAGGATAGCGAAAAGAAAGAAAAAGAACATGGGTCCTTGACATGTAAAGACAAAGGTATCTCCTGCTTGTTTAATCCATGTGAACTCACTTTTTGGTTTTGTTTTGTTTTGTTCCCAGCATAATGTGTTTTAATTGTTATCATCTTAGTTTAGAGGGAGGAATTGTTTAGGGGTATGGAAGGGCTCCTCCCAAGGAGGAGCTCACATGCTGCCCAGGAACAGGCTGCCCTGGCAGGGATAATTAGTCCAAGCCCACCAGGTGCTGATCTCACATACACATCACCTTTAGATCCTTCAGCATATTATTTATGAAGAGTTTCAAGTCCTTCCACTCAGGAATAAGTCTGGGTGACGGTGCCATCTTTGTGACATTCCAGCACTTTACAGACATCATGGCTCACAGAACCTGTGGGACGTAAACATGACTTAATCACATCTGATGTGAGACTGGAAATTGAGGGAACTGAGAGAGGGAAGAGCAACAGGGAAAGTGAGAGAAGGGGAGAAGCAAAAGCGTTAGGAATAGAAGAACCTCTCTTATTTCAGAAAGACTGGAGTGACAATGAACTACTGACACTTGCAGCAATGGGGGTGAATCTCAAAAACATTGGTGAGGGGAAGCCAGACACAAAAGAACGGGTACTACATGATTCCATTTAGATGAAATTCTAGCAAAGAGTAATCTGACCTATAGGGACAGAGCAGATCAGTGGTTACCTGGGTCTGAGAGACTGGGAGATTCCTGAGAAAGGGTAATAGGGGACTTTTTGTAGAAGTGAATGGAATCTTCTATATCTTGGTGGTTATATGAGTACACAAATTTGTCACAAGTCATCGAAACATACACTCAAAATGGGCCCACTTTATTAGATGTAAATTATACCTAATAAAATTGATTTTTAAAAGAGGATAGGAGTGGAGTGGGAGTTTTAGGAAGTCTAGAAATGGAAAAAATGTGGCAAAAGAAAGCTGTCAGGTGAGCTTAGGTGAATCAGTTGCAGCACAGTTGAAAGAATACATGACCCTGGCTTTGCAACCCTTCCTTTCTAAAAAAAAAATTTTTTTAATGTTTATTTATTTTTGAGAGAGAGAGCGTGAGAGGGGAAGGGGCAGAGAGAGAGGGAGACACAGAATCCGAAGCAGGCTCCAGGCTCTGAGCAGGCAGCACAGAGCCTGATGCAGGGCTTGAACCCACAAACCATGAGATCATGAGCTGAAGTCAGATGCTTAACCACTTAACCGACTAAGCCACCCAGGCACCCCCGCCCTTTCTTTTTTTATTAAGATTTTATTTTTTAAAGTACTCTCTGCACCCAGCATGGGGCTAGAATTCACAACCTTGAGATGAAGAGTTGCATGCTCCATGGACGTGAGCCAGCCAGGAGCCCCACCTTCCTTAATTCTCTTCATTGTGATGCTCATTGTTGTATATACAGTTTTTAGACTTAATTATATCTATCCTACTTTACTACTGAAGACTTTATGTATATAAGTCACTCACATGTTCAACAAATGTTTATTTGATGTTCATTATATGCCAGGCCTCTCAACCTAGAGCTGGAGATAAAGCGAGGAACAAGAATGATTATCTGCCCGCCTGGAGTTTACTATCTAATATGGAAGGCAGATACTCAACAAGTTAAAATAGATGTCAGGTTCTGGCCAGATGCCAGACTAAAATAACCTGAAAGTCTCCCACTTACGAACTTCTAGAAATTGTGGATAACAAGAGGCTGAATTTCAGGAGCCAGCAATGAAGAGGGGAGAAAAAAGCAAGTAAGTGCAAAGCTGCCTCTGTGATAGTTCTGAGGAGGTATAGTTATCAGAACCCCAAAATGACTGTAATGGCTAGAATGGCTAGGGTAGTGTTGCCCTGACAAAGAGAGGACATAGGACTTGGGCTCATAGGAGATAGGGAGCCAGAACTGAGACCCCTTCATTACCTTGGAAACAGACACTTCCATGGACAGAGCTGGCTTATGACCCACTCTCTGAAAGCTTACACACCTTTAAACTTTTTTCCAAGCATGAGTCAGGAACCTACATACCTCCAAATTCCAGGAGATACCCATCAAGTTCTCCGAAGTGGTTCTCTGACATATACCTCACTTGGACTGACAAGGAAGAGGAGCGAGGGGGGGGAAGAAGAAATACCACAAAGCACACCAACCATTCTCTCTAAAGAAATCATGTAAAATCTAGACCTGAAAGGGCAATAAGCTAAGGGTCACAAAAATCTCCTTTACAATCTTAGCATGTTCTGTATGACTTATGTGACATCTATTGTTCTCTAATGAAATTCCCAGAACACTGAGAGTCACATTTAATAACCTGTTATATGTGTATATTAAAAATGCTAAGGAAGAGGGGTGCCTGGCTGGCTCAATCAGTACAGCATGTGACTCTTGATTTCAGGGTTGTGAGTTGAAGCCCCATGTTAGGTGTAGAGCTTATTTTTTAAAAATGCTAAGGGGGCACCTGGCTGGCTCGGTTAAGTGTCTGACTTCGGCTCAGGTTATGATCCCATGTTTTGTGAGTTCGAGTCCCACATTGGGCTGTCTGCTGTTAGCGCAGAGTCTGCTTCCGATCCTCTGTCCCCCTCTCTCTCTGCCCCTCCCTGCTTGCACACACACACTCTCTCTCTCAAAAATAAATAAACATTTTTTTTAAAAATGCTAAGGAAGAGAGCTTTCCTCTACTTGCTAGAAGGGATGCTGCTGGATTCATGAATTTCTTAATAAAGTCAATTAGATCTTAAAATTTAAAAAAATACTAAGAAAACTACCAAAAAGAAAGAAACAAATAGAATGTAAGATTGAACCAGTTGAGGAAGGGGATATGAAATAAAAGAAATACATATCAATCCAATGAAAGAAATATACGATGAAACATCACAAGGAAAAAAGAGGTATGACAAATAGAAACAGAGTAATAGAAACAAGTCAAAATATGTCATTATAGAATAAATACAGACTAAGCTCATTTGAAGACAAATTTTCAGATTAGTTTTTTTTTTAATGAATGAAGTATAGTTGCATGCTTTTAATAAGGGATGAATCTAAAATGTAAAAACATAGAGGGGTGCCTAGGTGGCTCAGTGGGTTAAGTGTCCAACTTCAGCTCAGGTCATGATCTCACAATTCATGGGTTTGAGCCCTGCATCGGGTTGTGTGCTGACAGCTCAGAGCCCAGAGCCTGCTTTGAATTCTGTTGTCACCTTCTCTCCCTGCCCCTCCCCCACTTGTGCTCTGTCTCTGTCTCTCAAAAATGAATAAACGCTAAAAAAATAAATAAAATAAAATAAAATGTAAAAACATAGAAACATTAAAGTATCATTATTACCATGGCCTTCTGTTCTGAAAGCATCTAAAATCAATAAAGAGAATCAAAGATCTTTGCAAACTCAACTTCAGCAAGACCAAGAGATAAGTATAATCTGTAAATAATAAATTACTTATAAAGGCTGAGAAAAACAGCTGAAATCAGTGGCAATTATGACAAAAGAATTGGAAATAAGAAACTATGGAGACAAATTTGAGATGGAGGGAATGGTAATTATGGTAATTTGTTATAGCAGCAATAGAGAAATCAGGCACTAACAATTTTTTGGGGAAAATTTATGCACCAAATACTTTCTGTGTATTGTCTCATTTAATACCAACAACCTTCTGAAGTAGGAGCTAGCTATATTCCCACTCTGCAAAAGAAGTTAATTAGTCTACCTATAGCCAGACAGCTAGTAAGAGACAAAGCCAGGATTCCAACCCAGAATGCGTGACTACAGAAGGCACACCTTGAACTACTGAGCTACACAACCTTCCTAGAGTCAATGGAGCTCACAGAACTTATATTAAGGGTGTCCAAGGTGGAACAGTATCTCATCAGCTGAGCTCAAATGTGAGCCTCATTTGTCTAGTTTCATAACTGCTAATTCGCAAACAATCAACAAATACTTGTTGAGATTCTACTTTGTAACATTTTGCTTTATAGTATTTTGCTACCAACTGGGGATCCTAAGTTCAAAAGTAGACACGGTCTTCATGGAACTTCAGATTGTTAAAACTGGATAATTGCTGTAATGGAGCACCTGAAGGTGGATGGGGCACCACAGAAATAGCATGAGGAGGTTGCCAGGCAGATAAGGCTTACTCAGACATTCCAGGAGGAGAGGATGGCACAAACACTTAAATGTATGATTTGTGCCAGAAACTACATAGGAGTTAAATATTCTTACAGCACAATGTTCAAGAAGGCGATAGAAGAAAAATGGCTAGACAGTTAGGAGTTACTATTAAATGTCATACTAAGGAGTTCAATTTTCATATTGAAACACTGAAAAACAGGGGCGCCTGGGTGGCTCAGTCAGTTAAATGACCAACTTCAGCTCAGGAAGGTCATGATCTCACAGTTTGTGAGTTCGAGCTCCACATCGGGCCCTCTGCTGTCAGCATAGATCCCGCTTTGGATCTTCTGTTCCCCCCCCCCCCCCCCCCCCCCCCCGCCACCCCGCCGTCCCTCCCCTGCTCATGCTCACTCTCTCTCAAAAAATAAACATTTTTTAAAAATTAAAAAAAAAGAAACACTGAAAAACAGTGTTAGCAGGGGAGGGATGTCAGATTAACCTTTCAGAATATGTACTTGTCCAGCCTGGAGCTGGATTGGGAAACAGTCAAGACAACCTGCCAGGAGGCTACTGTGGTAGTAGAGATGAAATATAATTAAATATTCTGATGGAGAGCAGTGGGAAAGGAAAAGCAAATGACAATAACAATATAATATATTTAGGATAAAAATATTTGGGGGGTAGGATTTATAGATATTGCAGATTATTTGGGTATGGAGAGTCAGGAAAAGAGAAATCTAGAATGGTTCCTGGGTTTCTGGGTTAGGTTTTGAATAAAATTTGATATATTCAAATGGGCTAAAGAAGAGTAGGAGTGGGTTGTTCCATTGGAGGAGGTTCCTTTGGAGGAACAATGATCGGTTTCATTTTGGATTTGTTGAGGTGGTTATAGAATATCTGAATAAAGACAACTAAAATGAATGGGTCTGGAGATTGGGTAAAAGGTCTGGGTTGGAAACAAATCTACGAAATGACCAGTCTGTAGGGATTGCTGAAGCTGGGGATCTGGAGCAGCTTGCTCACAGGGGGCTATGCTGCATGAGAAGGAGACTTGATAAGCAGACAATTAAGGGGGCACACACTGAGAAGGAACAACTATAAAGAGGTAAGACGTTCTTCCAGAAACCTGAGGAGGAGAGTTTCATGAAGGGAGGTCACCTGTAACAGAGAGGCCAAGTGAGACGAAGAGTGGATTTGGCGAACGGTACCGGTGTCCATTAAGGGAACAATATCAGCAGAGCAGTTATTCCTGAAGTCAGCCTGGAAGGAGCTGAGGAATCAGTGAAAAGTAAGAACCTTAGAAAAGCTTCAGGATGAAGGGAAGAGAGGGGTAAGAGGAGAAAGCTAGAGA